TGAGGGAGCCCCCCCCCCCCCCCCAGTGCACAAATTTTTGTGCACCGGGCCTCTAGTTAACTAATAAGCACCATGCTGTATATTACATCCCCATGACTTACTGGCTCTATAGCTGGAAATGTGTTCCTTTTGACCCCCTTCACCCATTTCATCCCCACCTCTCCTCGGGCAACCACCAGTCTTCTCTAGATGAGCTCTGTATGGTGTTTTGTTAGAGTCTACATATAAGTGAGATTTTATTGTATTTATCTTTTTCTGTCTCACTTCTCTTACTATAATGTCTCCAGGGTGCATCTATGTTGTTGCAAATGGCAAGATTTCATTCTTTATGGCTGAATAATATTCCACGGGTGTGTATAGAATATCTTTTTTATCCATCCATTCGTTGATGGACATTTAAGTTGTTTCCATGCTTTGGCTGTTTTTATTGTTCTATTTAACAAGAGGAATCATATGCAGTATTTCTTTTTGTTGTGTCATTGAACTGAAAGTCACACGCCATGTTTATTTCAAACACCACAATTGTCCATACCCAGGTACCCTCGCACACACGCTCACACAAGCTCCTGGTGCCAGCGTTTACTCTGAATCTGGGGCTGGTGATTTCATGAAACGAAGTGTTGCCAGTTTGCAGTACTTTGTGATTTTTAAGTTTTGTGCCATCACCTCTTGCTAGTAAATCTTACCTTCCCTTCCTTTTTATCTCCTCAACAGGAAAGCTTTGAATTTTATGCAAAGCAGCTAAAGGAATTAAGGGAGACCCCTTTGTGAAGCAAACACGCACTACTTCGTTTTTTTGTGTATTTGTGATTCTGTGTCTAAAATGTTATTTTTTAAATGTATTTGAGAATACAAAAATAAATAAATGAAAAGTTCATCTGTTTATGTGCTTATATTTATTGGTAATATGGGATATGATATGTACAACATCTTATTGACAATAGCTGTGTGCACTTGGTCACCAGACTTTTTTGGGTTTGCCTACAACATAAATCTATGGCATTTTCTTAAAGGTTCCTGATGTATGTATGAAGCCATAATTTGTTAGGGTCTTCTTCCAATTGACTCTTCTTCCGGCCCTGTACTCAATTTCATCTATTATTTTCATTAAAAGTTTCCCTTATTGAAGACTTACTTGTTAATATTGTTTATCTGACGAATGTTGGAGCTGCACAGAATGGCGTTCAGTGAGCTTTCTAATGTTTAATATTCTATGATCTATCAATTCTTTACATGTATGAAGCCCTGCATAATTTTCCAGTTTTGTAAAATGTTGGCGCTAGAAGATGTCTTACCAGCCCAGCCATTAAACCCAGTGCTCCCAGTGACTTTGAATCAGAGACTTGCCCTTGGTCGGGGTACTATTTGCCAATCCTGGAGGTTCCTCACCATGCGTTCCCTCTACCACAATAGCTCCCATGAGTCTCTGCTCATAGAAGTCTCCAAAACTGAGTCTGAGCCCTGACTGATTATGACACAGAGCAAGGCACTTCCTCTCATTCTGGTTTCAGGAATTGTCAGCACAAAATACCACTACACCAAGCCTCTTATTTCTACTCAGATCCTATAACTATGTGATTTAATATACGAAGGAGTGGAATCTTGGTGTACATTCAGTTTTTTCAAAGTTATCTCCAAATTGGCTTCCATGCCCGTTAATATCTACATTGTAAATAGGTACTATAAAAGAATGTACGGTGTAGTCAGTTTGCCATTACAAAGGTATGGGGATTGAAAATGTTTCATTTGAGAGTTATCCCCTTTTTGTTATATTCCTTATCTATTTGAAATCAGTGACCACTTACGTGCTTCCCACTGTTTACGGGGGGCGGGGGGGGGGGGCTTAGCCCTGCCTTGGGGAAATAACTTGACCTGCTGTTTGTGCTGCTAACCTGTCTTATGGGATCAGCCATCCTGCATCTAGAGCCGCCAGATTGCTTCAGAGGGTGGGATGATGGAGGAGAGCCAAGAAATAAATGTTATTATGACATTGGCCATATTCTTCATCTTTTTGTAGTTAGACCTGAGGAACCATGAGACCTAGGGACTTAATGAAACTTGCCTTTGTGACTCGGGTGCAGGACCGGCACGTGTTGTGGTTATGATAGTGCCGGATTTGCCACGAGCCTCCCTCTAGTGATTCCACTGAAGCAGGCCTTATTTTTTGCAGTTATGCTAATAGCTGAGCTCAGTTGTATTAATGTTCATCAATAGAGGTCTCTCAAATGAGGCATAACCCTGGGGCATAATCTGGACTCCGCTGTCAACAGTACAATCTCAATCGCATGAAGTGACTCCAAGCCAACCTTGTGTATTGACTGGTGAAATGTGGGTGTAGTGCAGAGGACATGGGCACGAATCTTAACCTAGCGTTCTAAACAGCTCAGTGAATGTATTACATGATTAACAAAGAACTGTCATGTCATGTCATATCTTTAGCACTGGCTTTCCCTTTGAATGTAAATATTTAAACTTTAATAATTGTATATTCTAGGTGGGCTTATAAATGGATGCTTTCTAAATATCTACCAGTGAAATTGAAACGAATGGAAATACAGAGTAAACACAGTTATAGCAACGCTCAATAATATGTTTTAGATTCAAATTATAAGCAAATAGCTAGTTCTAAAAAGTACACGTCATTGTAGACTTTTGAAAACTATAGTGTGTTTTATATGTAACTGAGCATTCGTGTATTTGAACCTAATATAATTTTAATGTGAAACGCTTTGAATAAATTGTATTCCAGATTTTTGTATAACTGCTTTTATTTTTATTTTTATTTTTTAAAATATATTTTACTGACTTTTTACAGAGGAAGGGAGAGAGATAGAGAGTTAAAAACATCGATGAGAGAAACATCAACCAGCTGCCTCCTACACATCTCCTCCTGGGAATGTGCCTGCAACCCAGGTACATGCCCTTTACCGGAATCGAACCTGGGACCTTTCAGTCCGCAGGCCGATGCTCTATCCACTGAGCCAAACCGGTTTCGGCTGTATAGCTGCTTTTAGCCATTTCAAAGACTTTACTCTTAAAATTTTAAATTAAAAGTTGTGTGATGGCCTCTTGTTACCAGAATCTCCTGGGTGTACAGTGTGTGGAGAACTGGTAAAGTCACTGTTCATCTGTTAAGATAGCTGATTTGAGATCCCTGCGGTACAGAGTCGGCAAGAATTAGCAGAGTTGGATATAATTAAGTCAACACTTAAAATGTAGGGGATTTTCCCTTTAATTGTTAGAAGTGCAGGAGCGTTTTACAGACATAGTGGCGCGGCTCCCCTCCACACGGGCTGTCTCCAGCACACTGTTCCTCAGCTTCACCCTCCTATTCCTTTCTCCTGAATGCTCACTAGGCCGGCATCACTGTCACCTTTCTGCCACGTTCTCTGGCCCCTCACCCCATCCAGTATATTAATTATTCTCTTTCCAGGGCTCCCAAAGCCACTGAAAAACACACAGGTTGTGGACTCCCTGCGGACCAGCTCTTTGCTTCATGTCTATATCCCCAGGCCAAACACAATCCTGGCTTTGAGTTCACAGAAAAGCAAGTTGCCATAGTCGGTTCTGTGGGCTCTTCACATCTAACATTGAACATGTCACCATGTGCCAGGCACCCCTCTTGCCTGATATTCATGGTGAGAAAACAAGGGCTTACAGAGTTAATATGCCCAGAATCACAGCCATATATCACATGTTCGTACTCTGACTAGTGATTTAGTTGCTATGAGAATACACAAAAACAACCACAAAACAAAAAAACAAAAACAAGCATTCCAGCTAAAAGTAAAATTGGAATCTCTAAGAATATTCTAATTTAAAAAACACAAAAACCTTTTCACGTTAGTACAAGCGTTCCCAGTCTCTGGACAGCTTACACTGTGAGGCTATTTTCTTCAATTTAATCAAATACCCGTTGCCTGGCATAATCGCCATGTTTGCAAATTCCAGTAAATTATTAAGCAAGCTATATATATCGCAAATTGTTCTTCCCGGTGCGATTTATTTCTCAAGTCTCCAGTGACTGACTGCACACTTTTTCTCATGTCTTTGAGCACAATTTTCATTTAATATTTGTTTTTCTGGCAAACCAATATTTGTAGAGTTTTTATAAGTGAAAGCAACATTCCTGAAGTATGATGGAACTCAGAGCTGCAGGGGGTACAAAATCATGGTAATTTATTGCTTTGCTGTTGTAGTCGTGCACGTGAGTGTTTCCATTAGAAATGTATCCTGCAGACTTTACAAAGCCCACATTATGTAGCCTCAGTACAAATAAAAGAAATGGCTGCATTAGCAAATTCAACATAGCCACTTATCTTTTCCTTCTTTGCATGAAGAAAAGAAACACCATTGTGTCCAGGTAAAGCAAAAACACGATCTGGACAGCAGTCTGATCCCACCCAGGCTTAGAGTTCTCTTGAAAGGAGTGTGTGCCCCAGGTGTGCACTTGCTGAAATTCTCCTCATTATTTACTTGTTTTTGTCATTTCCTCCCCAGGAGCATGAGTTCCTCCGAGCTCTGCAAACCCATTAGTTAGACAGAGCCTGGCACTGGTGGGTGCCCAGGAAGCATCGCTGAGTGAATCAATGGACGCACAACACCTGCCTCCCACCCCAGTCAGTTCTTTCTGAGATGCAGGGCTGGTGTGCATTGGGGGGTTTTCTCACCCACTTGTTTTCATTAGATCAGACGCCACTTTGTAGCTCAGAACTTAGATAGTGGGGTTGAGGCCCAAGAAGTTCTTCAAAACCTGTGTTCTCACATGTAAACATTTTCAAGTTTGCAGCAAGGAGGGGGAAGGAGGGGAGTGGGGAGGGGGGGAGGAGGAGGAGAGCTCTCAGGTGTGTGATGGAAATCAGGATAGCCTCGGGCTGAGCGAGCACAGTGCAAGAGTGGCATCAACACCAGAAAACTTATCTTTAACAGTTTGGGGAAAGAAGGAATACTTCCAATTTTACAAGAAGACAAGACCATCATACCAACAATAAATGTGAGCACTATTACCAGAAAGCTGAGAAGTGTTAACCAGCCGTTGAGTTGCTGTGTGTTTGAAAATCTCAACCCACCACTTGAAACATTAGTGTTTTAATTATTAGCTGCTAACACCACATGCTCCGCTGTTCCTGGCCTGCCAGCCAAAAACAGGCTGTGCTCCATCTGCCCGCCTTCCCGCAGCAGCTGCCTCAGGCAGCCCGTGCGATAGGGACGCTGCTCTATACCTGGCCCCTTTAAAAGGAAGAATCAATCGGAAACAAATGACAGATGACTTGAGATTTGAGTGATAAGGGTTGTGTTTTTTTTCAGGCATGAGCAGTACAGGCCAACCAGCAAGTCGCTTCCTCACCCACATCCGAGCTCCTGCTCCTTCCTGGGAGCCTCTGGTGCCCGAGGGAGGGTGGCACAGGTGGCTGAGCCGAACCCCTCTGCTAAGGGACTCATTTGAGTCTCAGTAGAACCCCAAGCCCCAGGTCTGTCGTTAACATTTGGATTTGGTGTAGATTTAAAGAGCGCTGCTGCTGGCTGCTTAATCTGCGATCAAAACCAGGAGAAAAGCGGGAGAAAGAAAAAAGCAAATGCAAGCTCTACCCCTGTGAGCCTGACCTGGGGACGAGCTCGACACAGGGCAAGATTATGTCTCAACTAATCCTGATAGGAACCAGAGCAGTTAAATCCCATCAGGAAATATTCGAGTCAATACAGGTAATTATTTTCTGCTTAATTAAAATGTCCCCGTCAATAGCATAACTTGAAGTTGGGGAGGTTTAAAATGCAAATTTCAAAACCATTCCCTTTTGATCAAGAGTCTACAGACTAGAGCCTGAGGCCAAATCCAGCGGGCGGCCTGTTCCTGTAAGTAATGTTTCATTGGAACGCAGCCCACCACCCATGCTTTAGAGTGGTCTGCGGTGGCTTTCACATTGCAACAACAGAGTTGAGTAGTTGCGACAGAGACTATGGCTGCAAAGCCTAAAATATTTGCTCTCTGACTCTTACCAGGAAAAGTTTGCAATCCCTGCTCTTGATCCTGACACGTAAGCACATCTCTACCCCTTGCGACGCAGGGAGGGCTGACCGAACTGCATGTGCCTTTAGAGCACTGGCTCTCCCTGGCCTCACCTGCCCTGGGAAGCAGTTTTTAAAAACGGACAGTGGAATCCGCATTGCTGGGGGTAGATCCACACCGGCATTGGTTAGAGCTCTAGGGCGGGGAACCAGGGTGGGGAACTGGGATACTCCAGGGGGAAAAAATAAAGAAAAGAAAAGGTGGCTGTAGGAGTTTCTCCATCTCTGCTTGGCCCCTTGCCCTGCACACCAGAACCCCCGAGCTATGGCAGCCTCCACAGGCGGAGTGGCTGTACCTCTCACAGGGACAGATGGTGGGCCTCTGGCTGTCCACCCTCTCTGCACATTGGAATCACTGGGGAGTTAAAGAAAAAACCCAAGGTCCTCTTCCTCCTTCTCCCTTCTCCATTTAGGCCTAAAGCCATTAGGTGACCAGTGTAGTGGAGGTGAGGGTGGGGGTGGAGGGGCTCT